GGGATGGTGGGGGGGGGATCGTCATGGTCCCTGGTTGGCCCCCAGTCGCCTGGGGGAGGGGGTGTTTATCAATAGGGAACAGTGATCAGGACACCCTCCAGATAGCAAGCCGTCTAGCTCACTCCCACCAGCCCTCCAAACACATAAGCCACACCCTATCCTCAGCATGTTCCGCAGTCGTCTTTTGATGGCCAGCTACTGGGAACCAAAACCGAACCCATGTGCGCGACGCTGGGGCGAGGTGCGCCACGCGTGCCAGGCGCGCCGCGTGCGCCAGGCACCCCTGGGGCCCGAGCGTGCCAGGCACGCCTAGTGCGCCAGATGCTCCCTCCAGCCGCGCCAGGTGCGCCACGTCCGGTGCACGTGCAGAGTGTGTCAGGTGCGCCTGCGAACGTGACCTCACACATCGGGAAACATGTCGGCCTCCACCATCCATGTCGAAAACCAATGCCCATCATTGTGTCTGGTGGGCCTGCGCACAACAGGCCATACGCCACCACCCCCGCCGTCCCTGACGAAAGCCACTTGACAACGATCGCGAGGTGGCCGCGTACTATCCACATTTAGCCGCGAGGTTCATTTCGTATCGTGTGTTTGTCAGGGATGGTGGCCTTGCGCGCAGCAGGCAATATGCTGACACCCCCGCCGTCCCTGTCGAAAAACAACACAAAGTGCCCGTGGGCCTCACGAACATGACTCCAGAGTTTGCCCCAAAGTGTACCGTGTATTGTTTTTTGACAGGGACGGTGGGGGCATGCTCCGACTTTGGAGGCAGAGTGCGTTTTGTATTTTTTTGACAGGGATGGTGGGTGGGGCCCTCATGGTGTGCGCATGGTTCCGGGTCGGCTGCCAGCCGGGTGTGGGAGGGGGTGTTTATTAATAGGGAAAAGTGATCAACCCATCCCGAAGGAAAACAAGGGGGGTGGAGGAGGAGACACCCCAAACCACCTACGCCAAGAGGGTTGGTGGGATTGGAACCCTGCCAGACATTTGGCACGCCGTGCTCCCTTGTTGCAAGACCACAGGGGGCGTCGGATCTAGTGGCCTGAGGCCCAAGCCGCCACCGTGCCTGGGTTGTGGGCCAGATGCGTTTTGTGTTCCAGTCGTTCCCCAATCAGAGCTTGCCTCTGTAGGGGTCCTAACGGATTCATATGGTTAGGTGACGTATGTCGCCGATTTTGGCGGCACGCCCGGGTGCCCAGGTGCCCGGGTGCCCAGGTGCCCGGGTGCCATGGTGCCCGGGTGCCTGGGTTCCCAGGTGCCCGGGTGCCCAGTAGCCCTATAGAGCCCTATAGCCCTATAGCCCTAAAGCCTTATAGCCCTACAGGCTAGCCCTATAGCCCTACAGTCCTACAGCCCTAGAGCCCTATAGCCCTGATAGCCCTAACAGCCCTAGGGCCCTATAGCCCTATAGCCCTATAGCCCTATAGCCCTATAGCCCTATAGCCCTTTAGCCTTTTAGCCTTGTAGCCTTATAGCCTTATAGCCTTACATCCCTATAGCCCTATAGCCCTATAACCCTATAGCCCTATAATCCTATAGCCCCAGAGCCTTCTGGCCCTATAGCCCTATAGACCTATAGCCCTATAGCCCTTTAGCCTTTTAGCCTTGTAGCCTTATAGCCTTATAGCCTTACATCCCTATAGCCCTATAGCCCTATAGCCCTATAGCCCTATAGCCCTATAATCCTATAGCCCCAGAGCCTTGTAGCCCTATAGCCCTATAGCCCTATAGCCCCATAGCCCTAGCCCCATAGCCCTATAGCCCCATAGCCCTAAACATTTGTTATCGTTTTTTTGGGGGGGGGGAGCCTCAGGGGCTTCTTGGGACGCTTCTCTTGTGTGCGTAAACTATATGAGCCAGGGGGTACCCACGTGATACCAATTGGGTCATATCGATCCCAGCGGGCGGCGATTCTTTGTGCATGAGTTGTGCGTCAGAGGTCTTTGAGATGCCTCTCGTGGACTTTGGGGATGCCTTTCGGGGGCCTTGATGACTTGGAGGCCTCTTGGGATCTCTCAGGGCCTTTTTGGGCCCGTTGAGGCCCCCTTGGAGCCACTTGGGGGCCTCTGGGGGTCTCTCTAGCGCCTTTAGAGGCTTCATGCAAGTTTCTTAGGGCCTCTTGGGGCGCCTTCGGGGTCTCCTGGAAGCCTCTCGGGGGCCCCTTGGGGCCTCTCGGGAGCCTCTCGAGCCCTCTTGGGGGCCTCTTGGCGGTCTTGGGGGTCATCGTGGCCCCAGGGGGCTCGAAGGCTTGTTCGCCCTGGCCCCGCCCCCCCCCTCGGAAGCAGACTTTTGAGAATGTCTCGGGCGAGCTTGGAATGCGTGGCCCGCGGGGCACAATCTTGCGAGAAGCCATAAGATTTTTCAACTTGCGGCGACACGGAGCGCCCAGAACTGGGGGTTACGGGCACCTCGAGAGTATTCGATGTTCTATGCGAGGACTCGACGGGACCTGAGGACGCTCCACTCAGTGGCTTTGGGGCCCTGTGGCGGATGAAGACAGGCGAGAGCATAGGATGAGCTTGTAGCCCGCCACCTCTTCCGTAGCACCTCCTCATCTACCTCCTCTTCTGAACCGTGCGTTTCAATAGCCAGGCAAGCTTGCGGCGAGCACGCGTTCGGAGGGGAGGGCATGGGGGTGGGCTGATCGGGGGGAATGGTGGGCAGTGCAGCTGCAGCTTCGCAGCGCGGGCTCCGGAGACGAACAGGAGGGACCCAAGCGTTCGAGATCGGGGCCGTTCACGACCCCGAACCCTTGCTCTCGGACTCCCCAGGGGCGTGCTCGTCTCTTGTGATGTTCACCGGAGTGGCTTGGCCGAAGGGCTCCTGGCTCTCCTGAGATCGGGTGCTTGCTCGTCGGTTGGCTCCCCCTCGGATTCTTCCCGAGGAGAAGGTCAACACACACACACACACACATGTCTCGTTGTCGTCCTCCTCTTCTTCCGTTTCCTCCCGCTCATTGTCCTGCTCTTCCGTCACCTTCCCCCTTTCCATTGTACAGCCCCAGTTCCGTTGGCGCAGCACGGGGTCGTTCTGGGGATCGAAAAGTCCTCCAGGATCCAGTGATTCGACACAGCGGGACGGGATGGGTGAGAGGGGTAAGATGTCAGCTGAGGCGCGAGCGCGCCTAGGCTGTCCCCTCGCCCTCTTCCCCCCCCCTCTTCCCTCGCGCCTCCCTCGCCACAGTGAGACACACTGGATACTACTCCCCTCTCTCCCCGGGCTCTTTTCGGAGAGTCTCCCGTCCCCTTCACGCATCACTTTTGCACACGATTGCATTACCTGTTTTTTCCAAGGCGTGTTTTCAGTCCTGCCGTTTCGTGTTCTGCCAAAAATGTGCTCCCGCTGCAGCACCGCCCTCATTTCCGCGCCTCGGTCATTCGATCTCCTGCTCCCGCTGCAGCGCTGGCCTCGTTCCCGCGCCTCCGGACGGCACTTGGCATTCGAAAGCGCCCACATCGGGCAGGCACGGTTGCGGAGAACGTGGAGCCGGCATTCCGGACAAGCCCTGTCCTCTCGTAGACGGGCCGCTTACCCTCCAAGTCAGCCGGTGCCATGCCACGGCATTCAATGCGATGCTGTGTTGTGCACAGCTGTGCGATGCCATGCTTTGCGTTTCTATGCTGTGTGATGCAATAAATCACGACGCAACACCAGGCCATATGCTCTGCCGTGCTCTTCTACGCCATGCTTTTCCATCCATCGCGTACCCTCTTGGAATCATTGCCCTGCTCGACATCCGACTGTGCAAATAGGTAGGAGATCTACGCCATGGTAAGGGATGGGAGGGAGGGGTAGGACGTCAGATGTGACGCTAGCGCATCTAGCATATCCCTTACCCTCTCCCTCCTCCCCCTCCACCTCCCTCCCCTCTTCCCCCCCCATCCTCCACTGCTGCTTCCCTCCCCCCGTACTCTTCGCGTTTGCCTCGTTCGTTGCTGTCCTCTTGCTCCTCCTGCCCTACCCCCTTCTCTTCCTGCTCCTGCTGTTGGTCCGTGGACAACTTAACCAGGCTCCTCCTCGCCGCCTTGTCCAGCGTCATGCCAGACCGCCTCCCTTGGTTCCAGGAGGGCGGCCAGATACCGTACCTCGGCCAGAGGGCCCCTCTACCACAAGATCGAGGCCCCTCGGCACGAGGAGGAAAAGGAGGAGGAGGAGGCGGAGGAGGAGGAGGAGGAAGAAGAGGAAGGAGAAGATGATGATGATGATGATGATGATGATGATGATGATGATGATGATGATGATGATGATGATGATGATGATGATGATGATGATGATGATGATGATGATGATCATGATGATGATGATGCTGATGCTGATGATGATGATGATGATGATGATGATGATGATGATGATGATGCTGAGGAGGAGGAGGAGGAGGAGCTCCGCTGCCCCAAGGCTTCGCGATAGGTGGGTTGGCTTCTTTATGCTTGCGCAGGGGGACGGCGGATTCAAAAGTGGTTACGTTGTTAGAGGCGGAGGAGGAGGAGCAGCAGGACGGGAGGTCGGAGGGAGGCATCAGAGGTGGTTGAGGATTGAAAATAACAGGTGTGATAACGATGATGATGATGATGATGATGATGATGATGATGATGATGATGATGATGATGATGATGATGATGATGATGATGATGATGATGATGATGATGATGATGATGATGATGATGGCAATGATGCTGGAGATGGTAGTGACGATTACAGTGCTAATGACGATGACGACGGCGACTGTGGTGGTGGTGGTGGGGCGGATGAGGAGGATGTTGATGATGATGGTGGCGACTGTGACGATGATGGTGAGGATGAGGATGAGGACGATGCTGATGCTGATGATAAGGAGGATGACGATGAAGATTTCGACGACGATGCTGATGATGGTGTTGATGATGATTATGCTGATGATGCTGATGATTATGATGATGCTGCTGATGCTGATGAGGATGATGCTGACGACGATGATGATGCTGATGATGCTGATGCTGATGCTGATTCTGGTGCTGATGATGAGGATGATGATGCTGATGTCAACGATGACGACTATGTTGATGATGATGCTGCTGATGATCATGATGGTGCTGCTGAGGATGATGCTGATACTGATGATGATGCTGATGATGTTGATTATGATGATGGTGATGGTGATGATTTTGCTGATGATGCTGATGTCGATGATGCTGTTTATGCCGAAGTTGTTGTTGATGATTTTGATGAAGGTGGTGGTTGTGGTGATTGTGAAGATGTTCATGCTACTCGTGATATTACTAATGATGGCCGTCGAGGTGGTGATCCTGACGATAATGAGGGTGGTGGTGGTGGTAGTAATGTTGCAGACGATGAGCTCATGTTGAGGACGCGTGCTGCAGTATGAAAGATACAATGAGATACCATTTTGCAAGACCGCAAACTAGGGGATGCGCGCCATTTATCACCACTAGTCGGCTAGCAACATGCAGCGCGGGAGATACGAGGACATCAGGCTACGCAAACCCATGTGCACACTACATCCGTTGCCAGCAGGTGAGAACACTCTGGGATAGCGGCCCTCACCTTGTGCCGGTCTTTCCCTCGTGGCATCCTGTCGATGCGCTCTTTCGCGGCGTTGGCGCTCGCTGAAGAGCGCGCGTCTCAGTGGGACAGGAGTCCTCCGCGGCCAGCCCTGGCGGCCACCAGCCAGCGAGCCATTTGCCGTGTGAGCCAGGTAATCCCGAGCTCTGATCGGTTTGTGGCCTCGTGCAGCCTGCGGTTGCATCCGAATTCCGGGCAAAGCCAGGGCGTCGGGCGGATTGGGGCCACCGTCGGCCGTTTCGAGCATTGCTCATTCCTTGAAACGCGGTGGATCTTTGAGCTGTCAGCTTCGGGTTCGGACCCGAGGGCATGCTCCAGAATACATTGTGGACCTCTACGCTTCCACACCGCTGCAGGAATGTACCGTGGTTCGTGACTTCCTTGTCATGCACTTGATCTTCATTTGGCCCGCTGCTTTTGCCTCCGCCTTCTCCTCCCTTCCCCTCATCTCCTCGTCAAGCCCTGCTTTCCTCCTCCTCTGTCCCTCCTCGCTTCCTCATTTCTTCCATTTCTATTATCTATCTTTCCCCCTCCTTCCTCTTCGCTCTGCTTTCTGCATTCTCCCCGTTTTCCTTTTCCTCTGCGCCCTCGGTCTCCTCCCCTGTCTTCTCCTCCGCTTCCGCCTCCGACTCTGCCTCCTCTTCGTCCTTCCACTGCCATTCCTCCTTTCTCTTCATCGCAGAGATCGTTTTTTGTTGCGTTTTATTTATGTATTTATTTATTTATCCATTTATTTATGTATTTATTTAGTTATTTATTTGTTTATTTTTAGTTATTTATTTATTTATTTATTATATATATGTATGTATATATATATATATTTGTTTTTTTCTGCTTCACATGACCATTGTTTTCCTCCCCCTCCCTCCTCTTCCTCGGCCTCCTTCTCCTCTGCGTCCTTTTCCTCCTCCCTCCTCCTCCTCCTTCTTCTCCTCTTCCCTCCCTCCCTCCTCCCTCCCTTCCCTACTTCATCTCTCGTCCCTCCCCCCTCGTCCTCTGCCCATCGTCCCTCCTTCCTCTCTTGCCTGCCTCCTCCCTCCTGGCCTCCTGGCCTCCCTTCACTCCCGTCCTCCCTGGCCACCGGGCGCTCCTGGCCTGGTGGTCACCGGCTCGAGGCTCGCCTCCTGCTGGCGGCATTGCGGTCTCCCTCCCCGCACGCCGCCGGGTGGCCGCTGCGGGGTGTTGGCACACGGCGCGGGGCGGCCGCTACACCGCGGGGTATAAACACTTACGGAAATCGTAACGGATAGACCCTCCCTCCGTGGCCGTCAGCACGAGCACCAGCGCTCCCACAATCAACAGATCAGCATCATCGTCACAATCACCATCCATCACCACCACCACCATCACCATCATCACAATCGATATCCCCAGTATCCTCAACATCACCATCATCGCCACCATCATCGCCATCATCATCATCATCATCATCATCATCATCATCATCATCATCATCATCATTATCATCATCACCATCACCATCACCATCACCATCACCATCACCATCATCATCATCCACCACCATCATCATCACCACCAGCATCATCATCATCAGCATCATCATCAGCATCATCATCATCACCATCACCATCAGCATCATCATCACGATGATCAGCATCATCATCGTCACCACCATCACCATCAGCATCACCACCATCATCATCATCGTCATCATCATCATCATCATCATTACCATCATCATCATCATCACCATCATCATCACCACCACCACCAGCCACCACCCACCACCACCACAACCAAAACCACCATCATCATCATCGTCATCATCATCGTCATCGTCATCGTCATCGTCATCATCATAATCATCATCATCATCAGTATCATCTTCACCATTATCAGCATCATTCTCATTACCACCACCATCACCATCAGCATCACCACCATCATCATCATTACCATCATCACCATCATCATCACCACCACCACCAGCCACCACCCACCACCAACACCACAATCAAAACCACAACCATCATCATCATCATCATCATCATCGTCATCGTCATCGTCATCGTCATCATCATAACGATCATCGTCCTCATCCTCATCCTTATAATAATCAGCATCAGCATCAGCATCAGCATCAGCATCAGCATCAGCATCAGCATCATCATCATCATCATCATCATCATCATCATCATCATCATCATCATCATTATCATCGCTCTCATTATCAGCAGCAGCATCGTGATTTACATACGCACCACGACCATCATCATCACCATCTTTTTCATTATCATCGTCAGCATCATCAACATTATCATCATTACCACCATCACCATTGCTAAGAACATGCTCGCCACTTATGATATGGTTCATTCTCATCAGTACCACCATCAGAATCATTACCGCACTCATCAACATCACTATCACCACCGCCATCTATCTTCATCGTTATCATTGTCCTGGCTTCTCCGCAGCCGCTTTCGGTCAAGCTGCGGCTTGCGTGTCGACCCCGGCCATGTCTCTCGCTCGCCCACCTGCCCTGGCGTTCCTGGCTCTGGTGGCGTGCTGGCCCACCTGCTCAGGCGAGTGGGTGCTTATCAATCTCATACGGCACGCGGAGCGGTATGACGACAAGACTAACCACCACCTTCACCCGCTCGGGCAAGAGCGCGCTGAGTACATCGCCAAGTGCGTCATGAGCCCGGTCAAGACCCTGGCCTTTCCGCTGGGCGCGCCCGAGCAGCTGCTCGCGAGCATGGGGCATAACTCCCTGAGGCCGAAGGAGACGCTGGACCCTCTTGCGAAGAAGGCTGGGATCAAGCTCGATAACCATATAATGTACAACGATATCGACGGCTTCCACAAGTACGTCGCGGGCCTGAAGCACGGACAGACGCTCTTCGTCGCTTGGCAGCACAAGTTGATAGCGAGGTTGGCCGAGTCCCTGGACCCGGGAGGCCTGGCGCCGCGAAAGTACCCTGAAAAGTGCGATTACGCCGAGTGGGACGAGCCCGACGAAATCCAGGGGGGTTATTGCTACGACGTGATCTGGCAGCTGGCGCTCTATCGGCACAACAACAGTCACCCATGGTTGGCGCAGGCCTTCTCTCAGATGCACATGGGCTTCGCAGGGAGCCGGCACGCAAACTGCACGCAGGCGTTCCGCCCGTACTCCAACCCGAGCCACTGGAACCACCTGTACACGGGCTCAGAGCTTTTCGACTGCGGCGCGGGGCTAGCGAATTGGAAGCTCGGTTGGTCGGAAGCGAAGGCCAGACGACCAAATAATTACATAAACATGAATTTCCTGAGATTAGGCGCTCCTTTCCCGCATCCCGTCCCCAGCGCGTTGCGCGCTGGGGGCGGCGCCGCAGGCGCTACGAGGCGTGTCGCGAGATGTCGTGAGGCGGGTGCAGCACCGACCTCAGAAATCCGCGCGGGCCTCCAACAGTTTATGTACATTTACAGTCAAGACGGTGAACTGAGGACCACGTTGGGTTCAAGAGGAGCTCCTGCTCCAGGGCCGTTCCCTAGATCTAGGGCGACGAGCCCATTCGTGGCCGAGGCTCGCCGTGGCCCAGGAAAGCCCCTTCGATCCCTGTTCAGCGCTCCTTCGGGCAGCGCGGTGCCTCTAGCTCCCTGGCCCTCGGAAGGTGGCGTGGTGCTGCGCGCACGTTGGAGTCGCCTGCGCTGCCGACGGCGACGAGCCCGCCGGCTCCGCGCCCGCGGCCACGGGCGCGCCGCTGGGTGCAGTCGTGGCCAAGGCCTGGCTGCTGGGCGCGGCCAGCGCGTGGCCGTGCTGGGCGGCGGCGTCGTGGGCGCTGCGCGGGAAGCGCGCTGGCTCCGGCAGCATCGAGCCGCTGCTGCAGTAATCATGTGCAGTGTTAGGGGTCTCGGTAGCAACTCATGGGAGCTGTGTATGTCCTCGGAGTTCCGCCCTTCGAGTGGATCAGCTTGCGCTTGCTAGCGGCTGGTAGTCCACGAGGCATCGCCGATTCAGCGACGATTAGCGTTGGTTGCGTCGATCCGCGTCCATTCTCGTCGGTTAGCGTCGTAGCGCAAGAGCCAACAAGATGACCTGGGAGGCTCCCATGAGTTGCCATTGAACGGGGCGAAATGTTCATCAGCTTTTCAACAGTGTTCTGTTTTCGAGGCTCAGGGTGGTTTCCACCTGCCGCGCCTCGCCGAGGCCGTCCTGGGTTGCCCGGACCGTCCCGAACGGCAGCTGGAGGCCCGAGTTATGGCCCGAGAGCCATCAGTTAGAAGGGAAAGAAACACACAGACACAATTCATCGTCGAGTCCCAGGAAAATATGGGAAAATATGGGCATTGGGCGGGAAGGCAAAAACCCAGACCATATGGGAAAACATGGGGAATCATTTTGTTTGTGTGTGTATTTATCTGTGTGCCCCAGGGCCCCTTCAATCAGCACGGGGACTGGCTCACGGAGGGGGTGCAGCGACCCCCCATCGCCCGTGCGTCGCCGACAGGTGCCCGTTAGCCGACCCCGCCCAAGACCGTGCGGACTCGCTGTCGGGGGCCTACGGTCGATCTATCAGTGGTTCGGGGGTGGACAGACCTCCTGCCCCTGACACGTCGATTAGTGAATTGTCCGTTTTTCGGTTCTCGAGAGGGCGCCGCGGCCGTTATTTTCCAGGCTTGCGCCCGCCAGGCTTGGGCCCGAGGTCGTTTTCACTAAGCCACGTTTTACTAAAGGGAGGTCTGTCCATCCCCGAGTGATGTATCGCCGATTCCAGATCGATGCTTCCCCCCTCCCTGAGCTGGTCCCCTGGGTGGCTTTCGGGTAATGGCTCGGGTCTCCGGCGGCCGTTCGGGACGATGAGAGCACCCCTGGAACGCTCTTGGCGAGGCGCAGCTGCCGGAGAGAGTCCCGAGGCTGGAAAGCCGCCGAGAGTCGCCGAAAACGCCCTCCGACCTCGAACCTCGAATCCGGATCGTGCCCCCCCAGTCGGTGCCCCACCTGCCGTTTCCCCTCGTGAGGGCAGGCTGGGCGGCGGCGCCACCGCCCAGGGCGCGGCTCGCGGGGCGCGCCGCCAGCGGCGGCAGCGAGCCGCTGCTTGTTTCAACGGGGTCGCCATGAAGGAGTGGGGCCCTCAGGGAAGCTCGAAGAACGAAGCATGACATACACATACACTGTCGGCGCTCCGCTGGCGGCGCACCTGGCGGCGCTCCGCGCGCCAGGGAGGGGGGGTCCAGCGCCGATTCAGAAATCCGTGCGGTCTTCCGAGAAATCATGTTTCTGCTGTTTGATGCTCCTCCACCTAGGGAAAGGGGTCCCTTCCACGGGGCTCTCCCCAGGGTTCCAGAACTACCAGAGACTGGGTCGGGATGGAACACATGTCCCAGGGACAGCCCTACTAGGGCCCAGGACTCGGAGGAGGAGGAGGAGGGAGAGGAGGAGGAATGGGGAGGAGGGGAAGGGGCAGGGGGATGATGATGCTGATGATGATGATGATGATGGTGGTGGTGGTGGTGGTGATGATAACGACGATGCGGATGATGATGATGATGATGATGATGATGGTGGTGGTGGTGGTGGTGGTGGTGGTGGTGATGATAACGACGATGCGGATGATGATGATGATGCCGATGATGATGATGATGATGATGATGATGGTGGTGGTGGTGGTGGCGGTGATGATGATGATGACGATGATGATGATGACGACGACGACGATGATGATGCCGATGACGATGATGATGATGATGATGATGATGATGATGATGATGATGATGACGATGATGATGATGATGATGATGATGATGCTGATGATGATGATGATGATGATGATGATGATGATGATGATGATGAGATGATGATGATGATGATGATGATGATGATGATGATGATGATGATGATGATGATGATGATGATGATGATGATGATGATGATGATGATGATGATGATGATGATGATGATGATGATGATGATGATGATGATGATGATGATGATGATGATGAGGAGGAGGAGGAGGAGGAGGAGGAGGAGGAGGAGGAAGAGGAGGAGGAAGTTTCCCTACGGGCCCTATCCTTCATGCCTACACGGCGCACGCGGCCGACCTGGGGATTAGTGTGCGCTGTATATGTTGTGTTGTATCTTTTTGCAGCGTCGGGGCTTGCGCACTTAGTCTGGCTCTTCTTTCCCCAACTTGCACGACTCCGTGTCTCTTCTCGTCCGTGCTTGCGCCGTGGGAGATGTACACACGCCGCCAGCTGCTCCCCTCGCTCTACCCTCGCGCTTTGTCTGCATCTGATCGGGGCACGCAGTTTTGACTTCCAGTGGTTGCGCGGTGATGGTGCGCTTCGTGGAAACACGCGGAGGACTTGCGGCTTCGAGGCAGCGCTTGGCGCACAAAAGAGCGCAACGCGACCCCCCCACATGCGGATTTGAGTCCTCTTGCCGAAGGCGTACGTTCAAAGTGTAACGCACTGATATGCGACGCCTTGCAAAGATAAACCTTCGAACCCATGTCGATAACGCACATCGTATCCTGACACATCAGCGATGTGCATTTTTTCCATACTAGATTGGAGCATGGCCCATTCTACCATCGTCTGTCATCGCAATTATACCACTGCACCTCATAGCACGGCATAGCATATCATTGCATTGCACAGCATTGCACTGCTCATGTTTACATTACATTGCGTAGCGTACAGCTGCTGATCATAGCATCGCATGACATGACATGCCATATCACATAATGCCATGCCAACTAATCGCGCATCACAGCGTCTCATGCCACAGCATCAATTCCATATCCCAGCGTAGCATGACATGGCACGACGTAATGCGGAATACCATACCAACGCGTATCAGCACATGCGGACTCAGCATCATTCTTGACGATGGCCTGGCCGTCGGGCTTTGCTCCGAGGCGTGCAAAAGGGCGGCAACAACTGCAGCGTCAACAACGGCACCGGCAAGGGCTGCGGGCTGGCGGGCACCCGAGGCAACGACCGTCGAGCCGCCAACAATCACGAGGAGGAGGCGGAGGAGGAGGAGGAGGATGTCGAGGAGGAGGCGTTGGAGGAGGAGGAGCCGGAGGAGACAGAAAGGGAGGAGCAGGCGGATGAGGAGCTGCAGGTCGGTCGGCCGGCTGCGGCATTGCAGCAGGCTGCGTGCCGATCACTGGTTGACTCCTCACTCCCCCAGCGACAAGGTAAGAATGGGCTGCGCGACCCTGTCCGCCCGCCCTCCCCCGAAGCAAATGGGGGGGGAACCGGCACTGAGACACCAGGCGGCGAAAGCACGCAGCTGACAGGGCGGCTGCAGGCACCAGTTGTAGCCATGGAGAAATCAGTACAATGTGAGGAGGCAGTCACGCACGGATAGGCTGGTACATCAGCGCGTGCCTCGGCCGTGAAGTTACCGCCCGCAGAGCGAGCCCACGTAGCAGAGCGAAGTCACGGAGTACCGCCATGGAGTGCTCTCATTTCGCACACCGACACAGGCGAAGGAGGTGCAGGGAGGAGTGTGAGGGAGGGGAGGGGCGGGGGGAGGAGGCAGGAATGGAAAGAGGGACGAGGGAGGGAGGGAGGGATGGGGACAGGAAGTTATGGGAGGAGGAGGAGGAGGAGCGAAAGGAAGGATGATAATAATGATCAGGATGAGGACAAGAGTAAACCCATGGCGCATCATTGATGCTGCACCTTGCCTTCTCGCCGGACAGCTTCTTCTACTGAATAGATGCATGAAGTCGTTCCCGTCCTCCATCGACGACGACGTTGGCGGCGGACAGCGGAGGACGACGAACGACGACGACGTTCGACGAAGACGACGACGAGCGACGATGTTGACAACCAGGCTACCGCACGCTACCGCCGCCGACGACAACCCTGTTATTATCGGATGTTGAGCCCGAGGGTGTGCACCAGGTGAAAGCCCCGAGCGGATCGCTCGGCGCGCTGGATCGACGCGTCCGATGGTTCGACGAGGTCAGACTGTTTATAAGGAAGAGAGGCGAAGGATCAGGCGCATGAGGAGGAGGATTCGAGGAGAACAGCACACCGACAGCGACCTCTTTCCATCGTTTCGCTTTTTGGGGCCTCCTGGGGGGCCTCTGTCGCAATGGCTCGATTCGCCTCGGAGACCTGGTCAGCAAGCACCCTGGTAGAGCTTCCAAGAGAGGCGCTATGGCGCTATCGATCACGTCTTTTTCGTTTGGCATTGAGCAAGGACTGGGGATGGAGGAGGGGGGTAGAGGACTCGCGTTATCGATGTGCCTCCAACCTGGAGGCACATCCTTCGTATACTATCGAAGAACATTCTGGGAGGTTGCCTTTGTCTGCTGCATTTGTAAAACCACTGCTGCGATGAATATTCCAATCCACTGGTACCTGTTTTGGGTCTCGCAACCGGTTCTGTAGTACCTGTTGGTATTTGATGTGCATCTCGAAGCCAAGTCGATTTTCTGTAGTAGCTTGGTCAGTGCGCGCACGTAAACGGTGCGGTCTGTGGATGGAGCCTCCTAAGAGGCTCCCTTACCAAACTCGGGGTATCGATCGATATCACATCCAATAATAATCCAAGATCTTGATGAGAGTCACTTACCTTAAGTGTGAGCGTTGAGATATCGAGAGATCTGTTTTTCTTGAGTTATACCATCAGGCTGCAGTACGGGTACGTACAAGCACAGGCGAGCCACATGCCTCAAGACGCCTTATTTGGGGACGCTATTCGGTGGGTCTCGAAGGGCTCTTAACAGGGACCCGCTCGAGAAACCTACCTCACTCTCGTCATTATCTCTTGGTTTCGAGAGTGTTAAAACAACTGACTCGGCATCCAGAAATCGATCGGGTGGATTTTCAAATTACCAGCGCAAGCAGAAGCCTAATACGTTTTCGCATCGCGCAAATCCGCCATAACATCAGTATCCAAAACCATGACGATGGTAATACAGTGTCGTCGAAGTTACCAAGCCATGATCCACCAACGAGTCGTATCCAAGAACATGGAATTATTGATGGACATAGGGTCTCAAATCGTCAATCATTTTTGATCCAAAACCTTGTCGAACTGGGACTTTTGTTTGTAACATGAAATTTCCTTTCGATCCCAAATGAAATAGATCTTTACTAGCCTGACCTGAGACCTTTGTCAACTGATCTGCTGCCATCCAACGCGTACGAATGTGGTAGAGTCTTCGTCGCCGGAGGCATCGTCGTTCTTCACGTATGGAAAGTGCGCCCAGTGCCCAGTCGTTGACTCTTATCGTGTGGTATTCCTTTCAAGCCGCATGCCAAGTCCCACATATCCATACAATGGAAGCATCCACAGGCAATGGTACAGTAGCTGATTCCCGAACTTTTAGTAAAGCCACTGGTACATAATGATGCGTTATAATACCTCGCCGCGTCGTTACTTCAGGTTCGCAAAGCCTCACATCAATTCCCGAACTTCTAGTAAAGCCATTGGTATATAATGATGCGTTCTAATACCTTGCCGCGTCGTTACTTCAGGTTCGCAAAGCCTCACATCAATTCCAGAACTTCTAGTAAAGCCATTGGTATATAATGATGCGTTCTAATACATTGCCGCGTCGTTACTTCAGGTTCGCAAAGCCTCACATCAATTAGTTGTGATAAGGGTCTAGACTTGGCCGTTGACAACGTGTCTGCGTGAGCAATAGTATGTGCAATCATGTTGGCCTTTGCGAATGTCCTGTTAAGATATGCATCCTGTCTCATTGTAGCTTGGGCAAGTTTGCATCCATGAAGCCGTCCTTGTCCGTCTTCATCTTGGGAATTCGGTCTTCAGCTAAACATACTAGAACACCTTCGGTGGCGAAATTACTCTGCGTGTTCGGCGCAGACGCATCACGGATACTCGCAATCCTCAAAGGTGGTGTCAATCTCCAAAGATAGATGCCGCGTCGTAGTGATTTCCCAGTTTCTTGATAATCGCATTTATCGCAATGATGTGCTCGATCTTCGGTTTGTGCGAAGAGACTTGAAGATTTGTGACTGCGCATAACTCCTCCAAAGGTGTCTGACAAGCCCTTAGAGTTGAACAACACAATGACCTGAAAATAGTGATCTCCTTCTTGTCACACAAATTGTCTGGTACCTTCAGGCGGTCTTCTGGAATCTTGTAGGCTGTGAGGTTGCTGCAAAATCATTGCTGATGGAGTCGTAGACAATCTTGATTAAGCCTTTCCAGTTGAATTCCTGCATGTGTATATGGCAGCTGCTGCAACTTTATCTCTCCAAGTCTTTCAGTCAAAGTATCCTTGATCCACTTCCGCATGGTCGTGCATCTTGTGATCTGCAATTTTTGTCATCTAGCTCTGAGCTTCTAGCAACTGTCTCAGTCTTAAGGCATAATATGATGGTCAGTTGAAGGATCAATGGTGCATCCGTGAAACTATGCGCAGCTCGAATACCAAATTTAACATAGTGGCCCCGTTCTGCGTCAGATATTTTATACTCCGGCATGGCCGTCGTCAGTTTGCGAAAGTGCCTCCATGCATTCTCCGGTGGTATAACGACACGCTCGTGTACGACGATATTCATATTCAAGCGTCCCTGCATTGGCACTCAATTCATTGTAGTCCAATCCTTGAAGAAAAGCCGTAGGTACATCAGTCTCGATGTCGTACGGGTTGTCCGTGTCATCCCATGGAATTTCATCACGGAATTCCATCGACATTACCAATCGCAGTGAAAGTCTCGTAGCCGTGTTCGGTTGCTTCTCCAGTGTTTGCTCCTGCTTGTCGAAACAGCCTGTTGCACGCAGTCGTGATTTGACCTTCTTGCACTTTATGGGCCACTTGCGAACCCATATACAGTCCACGACGTTAGCTCCTTCTGGTAAGTATTTCTTCAGCTTCGGTATGCCTTGTGAGTGCAGAAAGCTTCCAGCTCTCGGTGATCTGCTTCATCAGTTAATTGTGGAGACTTGCGAAAATCGTCGTCGGTCAACATCGTACTGTCGTCACCTGCCTTGTAGACTGTAGACGTCTCCTGTGTAGAGGTCCATGAGGTATTCTGGATCTGATGCAACTCCAACGTCAAGATCTCTCAACTCCAATATTCCGAGAGCATGCTGACAGAGGTCTCGTTCTCGTTATTATTCCATTTTTGGTAGAAGTCGTACAGTTGCTGTGATCCACATCTAGTCAACAGAGCAACCATCGGTTCTTGCCGGTGACATAATGAAAAACCTTGTAGGTCCCGTGGTTCTTGAATTTCCTGTTGAGCTTCTCCTTCGGACTCACTCGCGATGGGAAGAAGAGGTGCTGCTCCACCTGCTGGTCCAGGTCCACATGATTATGATGCTGAGGGCTCTAGTTGGATGTCCTCGTTCATGTCCTTCGTCTCCATCTCCTTGTCGTGTCGCTATCGAAGCATACTTGTTTAAGGGGTGGTTTCTCAGCAACAGAACTGTCACTGCTGGAGTTGTGATCTCTTCTCGACACTCGGCTGTCGTCCAATCCACCAGTCTTATCCACATTCTCCGGGTACTGAATAGTGGCCTGGGAACCATTAGATGTTGAAGTATCTTCTTGTTGAGGTTCGATAACTGGTGCATGAACTTCATTAGGTAGTGATCCAGCTTCTACCTGTGGCGTGGTAATCGCCAGTGCATGTGCAGCTCCTGTGGTCACGGATGATCTCGTTGCTGATCTAGCTTGGGGTGCCGCTGAAGATGGGCTTCATGAGCCCGTACTACTGCAGTATGGTTCAGTCCTTGATTTCGCTGGTTTCGCCGAGGGTGCCCAAGTAGGTAGGTTGGTCAGTCTTCCACGGTCTAGGGTCTAGGATGTGCTGTCGTAGACTCTGCCGTAGCTGGATGGTGCTAGTCGTGGCAGCTTGGCCGTCGTAGTAGGTGTCATCAATGACTCCGCACTTCTTGGCTGACCAAGATGTGTGCTGCTGCGCTCAGAAGGGGCTCCAGGCAATGGTTTTAAGAGGTTGACTTGATGAACCTGCAGAGGGAACTTGTGGTCTC